GCCAGGAAAAACGAATCGAGATTAAACTGCAGACAGGCAGAGATAGAGACGGACAATTGAGTCAAGCGCGGTAAGGTGCGTGAATCGTTCGTTGTGAATTATAGCGTGTGTTTAAGTTAATATGACTGTGGAAATTAAGTGTTTTGCAAAGTTGAATTGAGAAAGAATAAACTAGTTTTATTTAAGAAAAGACTTGTATCGCTGAAGTTCTTCGAAAATAATTTTTATGAGTAATTAACAAACGACCAGAGAAGTAACAATACTATAATGACACTAATAAATCACGCAGTACTGAAATCACAAACTAAAAAACCCAATAACTAGAGTGTTTTCGGAATGTAGACTTTCATTCTTCGTGGATGGATTGGAGAAGGAAATTCAACTTTCAGAAAGTACTCGAGCTATACAGTTTCTTAGTTTGTGATATAGTGTCTTCTATCGTTTAATTTGAACCTTTTGGATTAGATATTGCCACCATCTAAAATAAAAACTCTGCGTAGATTTCCCATGTCAACTTGATGTTAGGATAACAGATTCATTAAACGTTGATAATGAATCTTTACCAACCTTTAAGAGAAAATATATTACTGTCTGCATTACCTAACAAATAAAATAGATTCAAAACGTAAAGATACGTCTCGTCGAACAACTTGATAATGTGTCGAATATAATGATCCCTCATATGTGTGCAGACGTATTAAAAAATGCTTCGGAAGGTTTTGAGAATAGAATTTGGTTTGAAAAGGGGGTTTAACTGAATTTTTACCTAGAACTAAGTAATATTTTTTTACACATTTTGCAAAACTATTGGAGCACTATGATAATAGTTTGAATCAGTCTTCAGTCATTTCTCAAAGTTTTACAAGCTAATCTAAGTACTTTATTGTTTCTCAAACTACTTTAAAATAGTTAGTATAAGAATAATAGTAAGATATACATTCTCGTGAGCGAAGAACTTAAGTCCAAACTAAAAAAAGTTTCGAATCAGTAACTGCAGCGTGACAAGTTAACAATGAATCTAAGTGAAGCTTACAGTGAAGATTGTATTTACTTACTTAATGTGATGAAGTTACCTAATTTCTATTGTATTAAGAACGTCAGTTACATGTTAAACATCACATTGGATATGTATCACTTCATATTTTCTAGATCTGTTTCACATCTTTGGAATTTATCCAACATATATGTTTTACAATTTTACAAAAATTTGTGTACTTTAATTCGCATCCGTACTAAAGTACACAAGACTTCCCCAATACTTTTAACGTAAAAATAAATGATCAGAATGCTAGTTTACATTTTATGATTTATGGCGTTGCAGCTTTTGATTATCTTCCTTCCGTAGACTAGATGCACATATTAAGGTTGTCATTAAGACATATTAGATTTTATTTACTCGTACTATTGGTCTACAATTCATGCGTTACGCTCTGTTCATCATTCCTATTAAAGTGAAAACTACAAAACAGATCTGTAGTGATAGAACAGGTCTAGAGCATAGATTTTGGACTATAAAAATACGTCTTACATTTTTATTTATTTATAATTTGGAAATCTCTGTCAATTTTTAAACTCAAGGGTTTGGTAAGTTAAAAATTTAAAACCCAGTTTGAACCGTAATATTTCCTTTCATATAAGGTATAGACCTGTTTTCACGAGTGGAAGCAGCTTTCAGTGAAAAGTGTGACAACTTAAAAGTCAGTTTGCACCGTTATATTTTCTTCCATAAAAGTACAGTTCTGTTTTTACGAATGAAACCGGTTTCAGTGAGAGATTGAACAACTTACTACAAAGTAAGTTTCGTTGAAAACCGAATGCAATGAATAATGTCGTCTACCTGTACGTATATTACAATTCTCTAACGAAACAGACTCTCAGTTTTGTCTTGTTTTCTCATTGATAAGTTTTCAATCTTTTGATTCTCAATTTTATAATCAAATTATAATATCCAGAGCCTGCTCAAAGCGAGTTCAATGGGCTCAAAAACCCATCGCACAATTTTAGAGGCGCGAAAATTATACAAATTCAGAAAAAATACCAACAAGCAAAGAGAAAAGGGATATTTGTGGTGAAAGTGTGTGTGTGCAGAACTTAAGTTAATATTATATCGAATAATGGAAAATTCAACTCCAGATAAGATATTATTATATAAGTGGGAAACTAAATCAAAGAGATTTTTCCAAATTCGTTTATTGCTCTAAGAATTTTATTAACTTTATCCGTTAGTGTAGCAAGTGGCGAAAGATCTTTTTCGAGCTAAAATTGATAAAAACATTTTTGCGTTCAGCAATAGGATAAGAGTGATTAAATGGTCAAACAATAATTTCTGTACAAAATGAAACAGCCAGAGAAATTAATATGAGAAACTTAAGGAAAAGTTTTGCCATATTAAAAGTTCGTAAAGTTCCATTTTCTAACCACTAATCTTTGTTTTTTTATATGTATTTTTCTAGTATGTACCATTTTTGTACTGCGTATTCTGAATTTTAAAAGATCATTTACAATTTGTAAAATACAGAAAAATAAATAACAAATAATTTGAAAAAGGGTGCAATTTTTTATTTTCACGCCCTTCCGTTTTTGAACTTGAGCCGTCACTGATAATATCTTTTAAATATATTTCTCCATCTTCTTTTGTCTCTGATTAGCGATTCATTCAAAAATCATGCACAAAAGCAATAATTTATATATATTTGTATATGGGGGATGAGCAGTGTTGTTTTTTGTCTAAAGTTTCTTATAAAAATATATGTTCGTTATATAGTTGTGCATAGCGAAAGTTGTTTTGATATACGATAACTTAATATCCGCTTATTTCGAAAGTTATGCTTCTCTAGTTCATAAACGAAACGCTGTATTCAGTGGAGACTTCATGATGTTCTATTTTCTATAGTCTTACTTATAGTTAGAAAATTTTCCACATTTAATAACGACATTTACCTTCTTCAGTCTGACCTATTGGTGTTAATCTTAGTCAGAATTGTTCTAAGTATGATAACGGCATTTACCTTCTACAGTGTGACCTATTGATGTTAATCTTAGTCAGAATTGTTCCAAGTATGATAACAGCATTTACCTTCTACAGTGTGACCTAGTGGTATTAATCTTAGTCAGAATTGTTCCAAGTATGATAACGGCATTTACCTTCTACAGTGTGACCTAGTGGTATTAATCTTAGTCAGAATTGTTCCAAGTATGATAACAGCATTTACCTTCTACAGTGTGACCTAGTGGTATTAATCTTAGTCAGAATTGTTCCAAGTATGATAACGGCATTTACCTTCTACAGTGTGACCTATTGGTGTTAATCTTAGTCAGAATTGTTCCAAGTATGATAACGGCATTTACCTTCTACAGTGTGACCTATTGGTGTTAATCTTAGTCAGAATTGTTCCAAGTATGATAACGGCATTTACCTTCTACAGTGTGACCTATTGGTGTTAATCTTAGTGGTATTAATTTTAGTTATAATTATTCCAGGTGTAATAACGACATTGATCTTCCACAGTATGACCTACTGGTGTTAATATTAGTCAGCCAACAGTACCTCTAGCCTCGTTCGAAAAGTAGTCGTTTACGCCATTCCTTTTTCTTCCCTTTTCTGACCCACAGTTCAGTTTGACGTACCTTTCAATATCAAACTAAGTTCAGTTTGAATTGTTCGATGATTATGAAGAAATATCTATGAAAAGTGAATTCTCACCCTACCCCAAACACAAGTGTTTGATGTGCGTAAATTAGCCTTAAAACAGTTTTATCATTTATGGGTTCCTTAAGTTTAAAATAAAGAAAAATAATTTGAACATTTTGAAATCTTTATGTTCATAAATCTCGCTGAAAGTCAGCTTTAAACCTTAATTACGCAACAAAAGTTATTCCAGGTGAAATATTCGATTCTAGCATTATGGCGATTGTACTTTGTTAACAAATTTAACTTACCTATTGTAAACAGATTTACAGTGGTTCCACGGTACACCATCTAACAGTTCGGATTAAAGGACATCTCAAACTGAATGAAGGAAATCATTTCGGTACTTACCCAAATTTGAACAGAACGTGTGATGGGACATCTTGCGACAAATACTTAGAGAACGAAAGAACGTTGCAGTTAAAGTAGAATTTATTAATTAGAAAGGATGTCTCGGCTTATTTTCCAATATAATTAAAGGTATACTTTGAATTTCCAGTTAATAGACTTTTAACACCAACTTAGCCTAGATGATGCTTCAGTTTATTGGATTATTGCTACTTGTTTAATTTTTCTAATATGCCTAGATGATGCTACAGTTTATTGGATTATTGCTACTTGTTTAATTTTTCTAATAAGTCTAGATGATGCTACAGTTTATTGGATTATTGCTACTTGTTTAATTTTTCTAATAAGTCTAGATGATGCTACAGTTTATTGGATTATTGTTACTTGTTTAATTTATCTTCACGATCATAATCTTTCACTACTTTTTATATTAAAAACATTATGAAAAGGTATTGAAATTGTGTATGATACAACATGTGAACCATTCGAATAACTTTTCGTTGTTGTTGTTGGTTAAATCTGTTTCGACACAGTTCTTACTATTTTTAGGGAACAAAATGGAGTCGGGAATTTTCTTCCTGAAAGACATTTTATGCACAAGTAGGTTAAAGTTAAACGACTAGCTAAGAAACTACTAAAGCCACCCCTAATTTTGAACAACTACTCAGAAGGAAGGCAGCCAATCAGCAGCACACCTGTCGGCTTTGACCAGTTCTTTGAACGAAATAAGAGGATTGGTTGTCACTTTTACAACGCACCAATAGCTCAGAGTATAGAACATGTGTTGCGGTTCACTCCGGGACTTTTTATCCTCAACAGGACACGACATCCGTCAGGTTACACCCGACCTACAATCTCTAGGGAGATATTTTGAATATAAATTTTGCTTCCCTACCATTACATGTTTTGAAAGAAATAGGGTGTTCTAAAGTAAGTGAATAAATGAAAATTCTGTCGCTTCACATCACCTTCAAATATGTATTTATTGCAATATTTCAGCTCGTATACCAGATTTTTAGACTGGTAACTGTACATTAAATGGTTTTGATTAGTAATAAAGCAACAACATAAATAACATCGGCCGATTATTGTCATAAGCGTTCAGCTTAACAGCAAAACAGTTAAACCTAATCATTTCAAAAATAAAACTACCATCTTTGGTGATTAAGGTTTTAATTTCTCAAAAATTGTAAGTGCCTGTACGTTGAAGATAATGATAAAACTTCAACAACGGAATTAAATAAATGTTTAAATTTCAAATATATTTTTATGCTAATAAGGTATTAAATTTGTTTGTTTCCCACTATTCACAAAGCTATTAGCCATTGATTTGCTAGTATATGTACATTATGGTACTGTTGTATATTATCTAAATAACTTTAATTTCACTGCAGTGTTAGTACTAGTTTCATCAGTTTAAATTTGCACTTTTACAGGAAACAAGTTCTCTATGAAAAGAGTGGAATTTTACATTTAAATAGTGGGAAAATAAGGGTATTGTACATTTGTTTAATTACTTGATGTATCGATCTACGCATAGAAAATGTCTTATTTTATAAACTTGAAAATAATTCTATGAATAATTACTTACAATTTTAAAGAGTATGTACACAAAATATTTTAGATTTATAGGATTTTACCAAATGACTTAACTGGATTAGTTAATCAAAATATAATCAATATTAAAGAGCTAAGGGCGTTTTTAGTGTTCAAAATCCACGCGCATTTCGAAGAAGCTGCCTTGAGTTCTTATTCAATAAATAGTTTTATTTCAGCTTTGTTAAGCCAACGTATATGTTGCATTGCATATATTATGTTGTCAATATATTTTTGTTGTTGTTCACGTCTTAGAAGGGTATGAAAATAGAGTTTTTATAAGACGAAAGCGAACAACACGTCTGGCCTCGTTCGAGAATTAGTTATTTACGCCATCCCTTCCTCTTCCTTCTCAGACCCGCAGATCAGTTTGACGTACCCTTCAATATCGATGTTTCCCTCCCTGTCGATAGGTGCCTCTTTAAGAACTTCATCTACCTAAAAGACGCGAGAACGTTTTCTCAAGTATTACAGAAGAAATATTTTGAAATACATTTGACAAGCATATTACAAATTGTGGGAAAATATAATAACCAGTAAAGAAACCCAGCTACTAACCCTCTATTAAAATGTTTGTCTGTAAAAAATACAAAATACTGTACTTATTTTAATAATCCCATATATTTTGAAAAATAACTGTATATTACATCAATAATATGGGTTTTAGCTATTCGAAGTGGTGCAAGTTCAGCTTACCTCATGGTCTTGGAATTTATCTCCCCATGTCTTAAGTGCTTTCCTAAGCCTGAAAGTAAAAACAAGATAATTAGAAACAAACGTGTCGTTTTAGATAATTAATACTTGAAACCATCGGTACTTGATGAAACTCCATAATTACAGAATTGGAGAAAACAATGACAATCGTACATTTCACAAATATTTCGTTTATTATTATCATCACAGTTTCGTGAATTATTGGTTTAAAAATTTATTTATCGCCAGTACGTCGTGGATGATAATTTTACTATTTTTTATGAATGCTGGAGAAGTGTTTAATTTCACGAACAACATACGTTCGTCGAAAAACAGGAATAACAATTATTTTTCCAGCTAACTCAAAACAGTAGCACGTAGTAAAAGTGGCTGATTTATCATAACTGTAGGTTTTCAGTTTTAAATTTTAATTTCATTAGAAATATGTTTGGGTTCTTTATACACTGCCTACAAAATTAAAATTTCGTTTGAATTTTTACCAAGTTTTATCATACGTACTCCTATAGATTATAAAATGAGCAGTTCCTACATTTGTTTTGTTTTTGCATTTATTTCAATTGCTACTAAAATCATAAATATTTCCTGTTTGATTATATATATATATATAAAACACTATTCAAATTCTAGTAGCTTCTGTTTAATAGCATTTTATATTTATTTCTAAGAAAGTTATTGTTATATTTAATGTTTTATTGTATTTACATGTAGGACCAATTAGGTGGGGGGGGGGGGGAGACAGGAGGGCCATTTGGCCTGAGTCTCAAACTCAAAGGTGGCTTCAAAATGAGACATTTGTTGTCTTTTTTGCATTTATTAAGTTTCGCGACTTGTTTATATACACAAAAAATGCTAGAAAACCATTTATTAAATGTTAAATACTGTTAATAAATAAATGTTAAATAAATATATTCAAGTTATGTTTCACTTTTCTTTCGGGCTAATAATATGTCTTTTGTTTTCAGGTGTCAACTATTTTTTTTATTATAGTCAGGGCCCTCAAAAGATAAAAGTGGCCTGAGCCCCTCCGATTCTCTGAGAGAGCCTGCTTACCTGTATTGTTAAATAAAAATCATGGATAGTTTCTTTATTGTGTTAATTTCACTGTCGAAAAATAATGGGTATTTGTTAATTTTTTTTTGGTTACAAACATCATGACTATTTCTATTGCACAAAACTTTCATTAGTTAAATGCACAAACATATCTCCCAGTTTATCTTTCTTTATTTAAATACTGAGACTTTTCGAGACACGAACATTGAAATTACCAGACGAAACCGTTTCAGTTATTTTCCTCTTTTATCTGATTTCAAAAATAAATATGCAATGTCAGTGGCAGTAAGTAAATTTTTGGACAATGCAATCCTTCTCTTTTGTTATTTCATTCAAAACGTTTTTCTTTTATACATAATAACTATAATATGCAAAGTGCTACAAGGAAATAATATAAAAATTAGAACAAACCGATGCTGTTGCTTTTGCTTATAATTGTTTTGATTCTAAAATACGAGAACATTCTTGAAGAAAAGATACTCATCAAGCTAACTTGCCTGTCTTCGTTGATTTTTCCTGTAGCATTCTGATCAAATGTCTTCAAGGCATTTTTAATAGATTCTTCAGGGTCAGTTCCTACATAAAGAAACTTCAATGTATCTGAAACTTATCGAGCAATTTTTATTTATGATTTTCAATGACTGATTAAATTACACTCAGTATTGTATTAGCCAAGCATGAACCACTGAGCGAGAAAAAAAAAGACCCTCATCCTCACCAGATACATTTTCAATTGCTCAAATTCATGATAAAATTAATCTGTGTGAAAACCAATGTGTTAAAGCCGTTAAAAACAGTGAAATAAATGTTAAGCAACCCCCCCCCAAAAAAAATGGATCGTATTAGGTCCGCGCATTCTTGAATAAAGGTCTGATAAAAATTTCCACCAAAAGGATTTTCTAAAAAAAATTGTAAAACATAAAACAATTTACATTTAACCAAAATAGATAAATAAATTATAACATTAAGAATTTAATGCTTACAGATTGGTTGTTTCCAAACTCAATTAAAATATAAAACTCGATTGAAAACACTTTTTGGTGGAAGATGTAAAATAAAGACACTCATGCGAGAATATGAACAAAGAACACAGTACAATTTTTTATGGTCCCCCCTTTGGACATGGGTTATCACTTTATTGTTTTATGTGCTCCTAAAGTCCAAATGTTATGGTTAAATACCATTAGTATAAATTTTGGTTAGAATCTTGCCGAATAGTCGTCCCTAATGTTGAAATGATAGACTAGAGGTAAGGTAACTAGTTAATAGCATTCACCTCCTACTCTAAGGCTACACTTTTCTGACCGATTAGTGGAATTTTACCTTCACTCATATAGCACCAGGCCCCGCATGGCCAGGTGGTTAGGGTGCTCGACTAGCAATCTGCGGGTCGCGGGTTCGAATCCCCGTCACACTAAACATGATCGCCCTTTCAGCCGTGGGGGCGTTATAATGTTACGGTCAATTCCACTATTCGTTGGTAAAAGAGTAGCCCAAGAGTTGGCGTTGGGTGGTGATGACTAGCTGCCTTCCTTACACTGCTAAATTAGGGACGGCCATCGCAGGTAGTCCTTGTGTAGCTTTGCGCGAAATTCAAAACAACCAACCAACCAACTTATAGCACCCCTATGGCCTCATAGTGGGAACACGTTTTTTGCGACAACAACACATGAGCCCTGAACCCTTGGATTCACATCCGGGCACACTAACTACTAAGCGGCACAAAGTTGTCAGTATTACTGAATTTTGTCTAACTGAAGAATTCGGAATATTAATTAATAAAACTATGGATATACATTTGTATATTAAATCAGACAGAACTGCAAAGCTCTAAATGCTAATGAAACAGTTACTGCTTTATTAACTTACTGAAAAGGGGTTTCACGTGAAATAAAGAAACAATCCATGCTTATCATGGTTTTTATTTTATATTGAAGAATCTAATTATTATTTTTAAGTTACAACAAGTACAACGTTTCGATCGCTGGTGCGATCATTCTGAAGTATACAAGTTATTTGCTTCCAATACAGGGGGTCGTATTTCCTTCACGTATAAGGACTTGTCATGGGAAATCCACTATCCGGTACCTTAGTCACACTTTTCTTACACTGCATGGAACAACATTTTATACTCAATTTCTTATATAAGCCTTCACTTTGGCTCAGATATGTAGTTGATGTTTCTTGCGATTTTACTTGTCAAGTGAACAAACACAATTACTTCGACACATACAAAGACATACATTTTAGAGTTGAAAATGAAAATAACTACACAATATTTTTTTAAATGTTAACATCACACGAACCCCCCATGGCTTCACAACTACACTTCACGGAAAAAACACATACAGTAGGAATTACATAAACTGCTTTTCTAATCATGTTGTCCTTCAGAAACTTTAAAAATTTTCTTATATTTAGTATACACTATATGCATTTCAGAAAACATCAATGAAGAAGTTCATGGGCGTACGAGGTGGAGGGGGTGCAGTCTCCCTTAGCTTGCAATACATATGGTCATTTGTGCAAATTTTCAGTTTTCATTCAGGCAAAATTAGAAGTAGAAAATATGGTGATTCTGGCAATTTTTACCTTCATTCGGGAAAAACTCATAAACTCATTCGGAGAAATATTGTACAGCCCACCTCCTCTCTAAAATCCCCCGTACGCCAAGAAGAAGCTGCACACTTAATTTAATGTTTTACTAACATAAACAAATTCCCTATTAAAGTACTTACACAAACTATCAACGAATTAAAAAACACAGACAAGACACGTTTAATAAACAAACAAACCCAAGTAAGATCACAAAACGAAGGAATCCTGATCACTGGGATTATTCCGCATATTGAAAATATTAGCATACTTCTAACAGAAACATGGAAACGACTACCATTTAAGTGAAACCTTACCATAACGACAAGAATGAAAAACTAAAAACGTATTCAGAAATCAAATAATGAAACCTCCCTTCCCCTCCCAGGAAACACTAGGCTAAAAGAACACCAAAATCACCTTCAAACGTCCATGAGCAAATAAACAAAAAGAGTCACACTTTTTCCGAACAGAATGTTACCATACTAAAACACGAACCTTACCCTAACAGAAGAAAAATCGGAAAAGCCTGATTAATAGTCAAGCTATCACAAATTCAACAAACACCCAGGGACGACTCAGTATCATTTTTGATCTTTATTACCAATACATTCCTAAGTCTTACCGATTTCTTTTTCACAACATTTTCCACATATACTCATCTAGTTTTGTTTTGTTTTCTTCGTGAAAATAAATAAATAAACCGTCAATCCATGTGGATTGATATGAACATTCTTAACTAAGCACAATAAAACATCTGATTTGAATGCATTGATTACTCATTGTTTTATTGTTGGTATAAAAACAAAAATTGTCTTTACGGTGTGTTGAGTATTTGAGAATGATCGCACCAACGATCAAAACGTCGTATTTGTTTAAATGAAAATGATTCTTCAAATCCTACATTGTAGAAATAACTATCACCAGTAATTAAACTGAAAAGAAATAATTCAGTATTGTTATTAGTTTGTTTTAACAAGAAGCTGCACAATGGGCCTCTGTATTGTCCGCCGCGGGGATCTAACTCCGAATTTTAGACTTATAAGTCCTCAGTATATATATTGAGCCTACGGGGGAAATACATAAAATAACCTATACATTTTATGTGAGCCAAAGCAATAAATTTAAAGTTAATCTGTCGCATGTTCACTTAGACTTTAAGTTTTTTTAACAAAAATAGTTTAGGTCTTTGTAAAATTAACTCGCCTCGTCTTCATACAGACCTGATATTCTTTCACCAAAGATGGTTAGGAACATTGTGAAGTTGATAGGCCCTGGGGCTTCATGAATCATTCCTTCTAAGTCTTCTTCGTTAACTAGCCGGCCTAAAATAATTAACAAGTTATCATTAGTTTTGTAAGCATGAGTGATACGTATCATGCACTGAGGAAAAATATATCGTCAATGGTAATTTTGTTTTCACTTGTTTATCACATTTGCTGTAATCAATCGTATAATTCAAATTTAATGCATGGTACAAAATGAATGATGCTTACCAAGGGAATCAAACGTCGCCCGAAGATCATTCTTGTCGATAAACCCGTCTTTGTTATTGTCAATGAGCTGGAATGCCTGGTAAAGAAATAAACAGTTAAAAAAATGTTGCTACTTGTATAGAATGGCATTTACCCTTAAAGACAACCGAGAATTGGTGTTTTCAAAGTTAGAGAATCGTATTTAACCCAAAAATATTGAATAAAAATGTTACTACATAATTAGTAGTTAGTATTGTCATCCCGAATGGCACTTTATGGGATACATGGGAGTCACAGATTTAAAGATTCAGGCATAGCCATTCTCAATATCGAACTGTTGACTAGAAAGAAGAAAAGAAGCCAACCAGTCAGTAGCACCTGCCGTCTACGAGGATACCTTTAAGAGAATTTGGCGAATCATATTCGAAGTTCAGCTGGAACGCTGGACCTTCGAATCCACAGTCAACACGTTGACAGTGAGGCCACTTCCGGTTCGTATTATCATAAATATTTAATGACGCGAACCACTATGGATATTAAGAATAATATATGCAATAAAATCTAACTCAAATGATTTTGAAGAATAATGTTATTTCAAGTATAGAATAAAATAAAATGGTCTCAAAGACTATGGTTGTTTTTTTTATTTCCTTATATAATGTTTTTATTGTACAAAAATTGTAAGCTGTATATGAATAAATAATTTTAATCAATTAGGTAATTCACTTGTTTGTATGCTCTCGAATATTTGTACAAAGCTTCATAGGATCTATCTGTGCTAACTGTCCCAAATTTAGAGCTGATAGAGGTAGAGAGAAGACAGCTAGTCGAGTGTTATCTTTATTCATTGTTTAGTAACATAACTGAAAAAAAATTGTATCATTGTTTTCGTTTCTTTTTACATCCACATCGTTTAATATGGTTAAAGCATAAAACAAAACTGAAAATCTTTTGTATCACATTCGTATGTTCGATATGATCTTCTACATATAGCTGTACTAAATGTGCATTTATTGAACAACATGAACATTCACTGCCTGGATAACAACAAAAATAACTGCTCTAACAGCGTTTTGGACCACCAAGTGCTCTAATCACATCCTGAATCCATCGTGGCATAGAATCCTCTGATTTCTGGAGTACATTATCTTCGACTTACAACAATTACTCATATAGTATTGTCGCTAAATCCTTCAAAATTGGAGATAAAGGAGTACGTTTTCTAAAAGCTTGCTCCAAAGCTGGTTGAAAGCTTTATGACACTGTCTCCAAACTTTGGCTCTTCCATCTATAAAGAATAGCTTGTATGAAGGTTCATCTGACCACATGTTATATTTCTGTTGGCAGCAGAGACTAGTGGTTGGCGAACTAAAGACTGGTTATCAAAATTCATTTCTGGCAGCTTCCTCTGCATTGGTCTTGATCAAACAGATTGTTGTGGTCAATGATATTCATGTAATCTGTCAACTGCTGGGCCGTTGGATGCCTATTGGTCTTCACAACCCTTGCTAACTGAAGCAGTTTCTTCAATCCACAATTATTCTGCTCATAGTTTGTTTGGAATTAAGCACAAAGCTACACAAGGGCTATCTGTGCTCTGCCCACCACGTGTATCGAAACCCGGTTTCTAGCGTTGTAAGTCCGCAGACATACCGCTGTGCTACTGGGGGGCTGCCTGCTATGGCTAAACTAACAATCACGCAGCTTAACTTCACTTTCGTCAACCAGTGTAACAACGTTTTACGTATTGAGTGTAACACAGTTTGAGAAGAAAGGTTTATGGTTAACAAATTTTCTGTTAATGATTTTTAAAAATTTTGTGATGAAAGAAATCTGTGAAAGATATTTTTCTTAATTACTAAAGAGCAGCATTTCTTCATTCAAGTCTAATATTTACAGAACGTAGAAAGGAAATCTTTGTTTGATCATTGTTTTTTGTTTCGTTTTTTTACAGGTAGGCAGGAAAAATAATTGATTTGCCATTCGTATAAAAAGAATTAACTACTCTTTATATAGCCCTAGCCTTGAAGAATAATTCAAAATATATAAAAATATCCAAACACAGTAAATGTTATAATGTTCTCTTATAAATATGGAACATTGTTTCAAGTGCGACACATATGCTCTTAGAAATATTACATAAAAGTATTACTTTAAGCTGATAAAAACATATACTTAATACTTAAGTATTCAAAACTTTAAACAATGTTTTCAACAAGAAAATTTAAGATTTTTTTTAGTTCAATACACAACACAATCAAAAACTTTAAAATAAATATACATTTAAATGAAACGTATCCTAAATAGGCTAAAACACATTCACATTAACAGCTTTTACTATGCTCGCATTCTTGCATATAAAAGACATAGCTTTAAAAAATGCACTAGACAACTGTATCAAATTAATAATACATTTTTTTTTTAGTTTGAGTATATGAATGATTATGATCCAAAGATCTCTTTAATTTAATGGAGCAATTATTAAACCAAATATTCTATATTTTTGTTTTTGATAGTAATACAACAATGTTACTACGATCTTTCAGGTATCTATATTCTTTTCAGCATTGTGTAACAAACATAAGAAGTATAGCAAACAATTAAAGTTAACTTTGTGATAAAAATTCATACTAGTTAAGCAACCACCTAATAATAGATCACAGCAGCTCCTCATGGTAACATAACGGAAGGAAAGATTTTGAAGTTGTGGGTGCTGAGAGTCACACAACTCCGAGGTCTCGTATAATGTAAACAATATGACTTTAATGGTTGTGGAAGTCCCTCTCACAACACACTTCCTGCGCCCCTAGTAGCTAAACATTTATTGGAATACCCCATGAAACAATTCCTACAAGTAAAGTGACCATCTAACAGAAACTCCACCTGACAATCGTTACAAGTAAAGCAACCACCTAATAATATCCCACCTAGCAATCCGTATAAGTAAAGCAACCACCTAATAATATCCCACCTAGCAATCCGTATAAGTAAAGCAACCACCTAATGATATCTCACCTAGCAATCCGTATAAGTAAAGCAACCACCTAATGATATTCCACCTAGCAATCCGTATAAGTAAAGCAACCAGCTAATGATATCTCACCTAGCAATCCGTATAAGTAAAGCAACCACCTAATAATATACCCCACTTAGCAATCCGTACATGCAAAGCAAACACCTAATAATATACCCCACTTAGCAATCCGTACATGCAAAGCAAACACCTAATAATAATATATCTCACTTAGCAATCCGTACATGCAAAGCAAACACCTAATAATAATATATCCCACTTAGCAATTCGTACATGCAAAGCAAACACCTAATAATAATATACCCCACTTAGCATTCCGTACATGCAAAGCAAACACCTAATAATAATACATCCCACTTAGCAATCCGTAAATGCAAAGTAAACACCTAATAATAATATATCCCACTTAGCAATTCGTACATGTAAAGCAAACACCTAATAATAATATGTTCTACCTAGCAATCCGTACATGTAAAGCAATCAGTGGTAGATCCCACTTAATAATCCGAACAAATGTATCAAACAATTAATAATACTTCTCACGTACAAAGGACTATAGAAATTTGCATACCTAAAGTCCGTTTTCAACATACTATAACACTGCTGAACAATTCATGGAAATTTCATATTCCCAAATCTATCAATAATAATGTTCATATAATGAAGGTGGTTTTTGCTTATTGTGAAAAGGCCTTCCAATTGTTTTCAGTAAAACTATGGAGCAATTATACATGTTCGTACAGACATAACTGAACATTTAAAAATGGAGAAAAATAGGGTATCGATAAAGAAATATAGCAAAAGTCGTACAAAATTCGTATTTAAACTTACCTCTTTGAATTCAGCTATCTGGTTTTGTTCGAACATGGCAAAGACGTTTGATGTGGCTCGACCAGCTCGCTTTTTTTGGGAATCGCTCTTTCCTCTTTTAGACTGCAATGTTTAATACAATAGAGTTAAATATGTCCACGAGTTTATTCTTTCAGCTTAGAAAATATTCCATTTATTAGTTAGTAATACATTTGTTCTATTCATCATTGAAAATTTTGACCCGCGAGAAGACGGCTACTTAACAGTAACGCTGCCACAAGAGCTGTGTCTACTTTGAATTGAATAATAGGAGTATCTGTTACACTTAATTTGCACCTTGAGCTGAACGTTAGAAGCGTGTTCAAAGGCATTACGGTGCAAATCTTGGATTTTCCGGTCCGCAACCGAACACGCTAACCACTAGGCCACGTCTGACTCTTCTTCTTTAGACTGGAAAGTTTTATATAAATAGAGATTGGTAAAACTGTATTTCTAACTGTATTTCTCGCCTATAAATCCGTACAAGTAACTACTTTTTTAAGGCTTGTTAAGGATATACACTAGAATTTTCCGTATACTGAAGCTAAAACTGTATGTATTTTACTTTTTTGTATCTCTTTTTAGACGATAAAAATCTGTGTGCAAAAGTTAGCATAATATTTGTGGCCTTATTTTAGAGTAGTCACAGGTAATTTTCAATCTTTTAATATATTGAAAAATTGGAAAGTCAACGTGAATAACTTGCGTGTTAGAGAACTAAATACTATCAACTAAGTACTGCACTTTTAAAAAAAATGTTAGTTTTTATAATATAAGATTAGCGAAACGAAAGCAATATTGCAAATTATTCTACAGATTAGATAAACGTGTAATGCTTAAGCACTTTTGAAAAGATTCAAACATAGAAAATACATGAAACTGAAAGATATATCTTGCATATTTTCTGACTTACATACTTCAGAGGTTAATGGTTTTTTTACAATCATTGTGAATGTCAGTCTTTGTAGAATATTTTGGAATTTTTTTACACTTAAAGACTTTCGAAAAATCGCTCATGTTTTTACCGAATCTTCTATTGCTACGGCAAAGATGTTTTATTTGTATCTTTAAAACTTCTATTTGTCAGCCTGTCTATTGTAATATAATCTAATGACAAAAAATCTGTCACCTGCTATATACACTTTGGGCCTCATTTGTTAAATTGAGACTAGGTGAGTATCATTGTTCTATCCGTATGCAGCAGTGTCCCAACATATCGTAAATTGGTCAAAATATTGTCCCTGATAGGACCTCCTTGTTTGAAGTCAAGTACAGTTTTTTCATTAGATACACACCGTGTACCAATTAGACGTGCTGTGTACACAACATTTCTCATTAGGCATACTGTGTACACAAAATTTCTCATTTAAAATCTATGTAGACAATGTTTCTCTTTTGACAAACTGTGTACACAACATTTCTCTTAAAACAAACGGCCCCCCAGTGGCACAGCGGTATGTCTGCGGACTTACAACGCTAGAAACCGTGTTTCGATACCAGTGGTGGGCAGAGCACAGATAGCCCTTGTGTAGCTTTGTGCATAATTAAAAACAAACAAACAAACAAATAATAAGACAAACTTTGTACACCATATTTTTCATTAGGCATACTGTGTACACAACATTTTTCATTAGACACACTGTGCACACAACATTTCTCATTTGACAAACTGTGTACACAACATTTCTCTTCAGACAAACTTTTTACACAATATTTTTCATTAGGCATACTGTGTACACAACATTTTCATTAGACACATTGTGTTCAACATTTCTCTTTAGACAATCTGTGTACACAACGTTTCATATTTGACACACTGTTTTAAACTCCAAAGAACACAGAACAGAATGTATAATGATGTTGAACAACTTAAACATTTTGAATGAGTCTGAAAACTCTCCTGCTTACACTAGAATAATTTATATATATATCCAGTGGCTTAGCTGGAATTCTGAGATAGGTTATTTTTAGGACATAGAGGTTTAACTCAAGTTTATTCTTCTTTTATTTACTTTTACAATAACGCCAATAGTTATTGTGAATGAAATATATCCTAATACTTTCAAAAGCTATGGAGATTTTGAAGCACTTATCTAGTGGATTTCAAATATGCCTGCAATGTGAATTCGTTATTTTTTCAGTTTATTTTCATCCTCTTGCAATCTCCTTTGTTCATCCCACGTTCAAACGTTCAGTGAGTTTTTGCTTCTTTTCCAATTCATCATGTCATCAGGCACATAAGGAAGAAGTCAGATGCCTCCAGCGAGTACTGTCCTCTGCTAATTCTTACAGGTCTTCCATTTTTATCTTGACGGAAGTCAGGTATGTTGTGATGGTATGTTGCGGTGTTCCTTTAGTTCGACATCTCCTGATGAAATCAATGAAATTTCCTGTCTTGGTATCTTTGATTCCCTCATTTTAATTGCATTTCTTGCAAAGACATCTTCGATTCTGTGATATTATTTATTCTAGCTCTGACTCGTTTTAAGACTTCCTGAGATGTTACAAACTCTGAGGCTTTGTTTGTTGTTAGTCGCAAAGCTACCCAATGGTCTATCTGTGCTGTGCCCAACACCGGTATCGAAACCCGGTTTTTAGCATTATAAACTTCAGACATACCGCTGAGCCACTGAGGGGCTCGGTTTGGTTGCTGTTAAGAGCAAAGCTACACAATGGTCTATATGTGCAATGCCCACCACGGGTATCGGAACCCGAATTTTAGCGTCGTAAGGCTGCAGACTTACCGCTGAGCCACTGGGAGGCTATCCCGAGGCATGTGCTTCTAAAATTAATGAGTTTTTTTTGTATTAGATTGTTTGATTGCTATGCTTCAGAACCATACAACAAAACTGATTCAATGCTGCTTTGTTCGATTTTGATCTTTTAATTCAGGGATTTCACTTTCAGTTATGAATGATGTATCATTCGTTTCTGCTTGGCAATAATTGGAACACAATGTAGATTATATTACATTTTTAATAACAACGCGTGGCCCTTTTATTTTTCCTACGTACCTAATATATTTTGATATCTGTAAATTCTCATGTTTCTACTGCTTCTTGAAGTTGGAATCGCATGCCCTTCTTCCATCTACCTGTAACTGAGATTTTTTCTACCCGAAAATTCATCAACTTATGCTTTAAAATTGGATGACCTTCGATAACTGGAAAGATTTAGATTTCTTTCTATGTTGAAAATAAAAGTATTCTCCAATCCAAATGCTGAGCTTATTCTGGTGTCTGTCTATAAACGTCATTAGCTTAGGAAATTGAAAGAAATCTGATTTTTTGTAAAGCTTATACACTCAGAACAGTATCCAGGCTACTTGAAGACGATTCTAAACATATCTTACATTGTGTACAATATTATTGTTTTCGTTACCGTTGCTTATCAATTACATAAAATATTTTTCAACTGGTTTCATTTATTTGTAGCTAAGGATAAAGCTACACGGTGGGTTGTCTCTGTTGTGCCAATCACGAGTGTCGAAACCCGGTTTTCAGCGTTATAAGTCCGCAAACATACCGCTGAGCCACTGGGGGACTTTGTGAACTTATTGTTATTCAACATGTTAAATGTTTATTTTTGTTTTAGTTACGCGTAAATAACATGAAATAAAAGTGTTATAAATCGAAAAACATACTTATATTTAGTTATGTCGAACAGTTATTATATATTTTTGTCCATAGTTAGATTTCATTTTATATTATTGTTTTTTGTTTCTTTGTTTTTATTGTCGTTTTTGTATTAGTTACGTCCAGTTGACATATGTTCTACAACTTATATTTTAATATTTCTCTTTACTTCTGATTTTAATGCAATGTAAAAACTCTCATTAAGTTTCAACTCTTCTTTGTATGCGATACTTTTGCTGATAGTTAGGAAAAGTATACTTTTCCATAAACATTCAAATAAGCTAGACATCTTGTCATGCCCAGGATTCAACGGAAGTGATTCGCTAATAGCTGGCCTTTTTCCCTAAGTAGTCAACTTAAGCTAGATAATGTATGCTCAAGGGTTCAGACAAATTTGATTTGTTAATAGCTGGCATTTCCCCTAAGTACTCAACTTAAGCTAGATAATGTATGCTCAAGGGTTCAGAGGAATTTGAGTTGTTAATAGCTGGCATTTCCCTAAGTACTCAACTTAAGCTAGATAATATATGCTCAAGGGTTCATAGGAACTGGATTTGTTAATAGCTGGCATTTCCCTAAGTACTCAACTTAAGCTAGACATCTTATCATGCCCAGGATTCAACGGAAGTGATTCGCTAATAGCTGGCATTTCCCTAAGTACTCAACTTAAGCTAGATAATCCATGCTCAGAGATCTAAAGGCCTTTATTTTAATGTTTTGCTTTAACCTATATATATATATCGTTCAGAGTTACTGAAGAAAGATGGCATTCTCTGACAACTGTCTGACCTAAGGGCATGTGCAGAAACAAAAGATAAATCAAGATTTTAAATCTTTCTTGTTTCAAACCAAAAGCTGATTAATATAATAGCAACAAATTTTGTAAAAAATGATTTCTATTAAAATTATTTAAGAAATAAGTTAGCAGAAGTATTGCTGTTTGATCCCTAAACCCCTGCATTAGTTGGTTATCTATCGGATAAAGTACCACTAACACAAGTTAAATCTTGGTAAGTCCTGGTTTGTCGAAACATTCTTAAATACATAACTCATTTAGCATATATTTACATCTGTATTTAATTAAAATACGAACTGCAGAAAGTTTGAGTTTGAAGAAAATGATAATAGAGCATGAAGTTAAGCCTTACCATATTTGCTACTTCTAGATCTTCGTCTTTGGCGATCTCTGTTCACGGACAGTTCCACCCGCACAATGTGACGTATTGGCTTTGTAGTAGCGAGTTTTCTCGTTATTTTCTTGATTCGCATCGTTTTCCAACGTCTCGACTGTCGTTGGTCACGTGCACCACCTTATTTAGACACTAGAAATTTTTGGGGAAGAGTGTGGATTTCATAGTGCGTCTTCAACTTACTATGGTTACTAGTAGCACACACACACATTGGGTTCTGATGGGTTAAAAACAGCTTGGTTGCAGATACAGAACTACGCGAGTTTTGATTGGTTGTTGAAACTATATGCTTTCTCGGAAAGCGCTCTTAGCACAAAATGTAGAGGTAAAATAATTTACAGAGTTTTGGAATATTGGGAAATGACAAGTTCAATCATATGCTGTGGTTACTGTTTTCCATGCTTTGAGATAGCGTTAAATGTACTGATGTATTCGTCATCTAGCTGTCTTCTACGAATTTTCTAGGCAATCTAGAGATCAGATTTATATTCATTACTGGCCTTCATAAATGAAGATGCTCATTTGTTCAAACTAGGACGTCATTGGCCGACTGTAAAAAAATAAATGAAATATGTACCAGGTAGGAGTGTTTACAAACACAACCTACCAGTCCAACTTTTTCATTATAAGCAGTTTTAATTGTATAGTTTGTTTGTTTGTAATTAAGCACAAAGCTACGCAATGGGCTATACTGTGCTCTGCCCACCACGGGTATCGAAACCCGTATTCTAGCGTTGTAAGTTCGCAGACATACTGCTGTGCCACTGGGGGGAGGCTAATTGTATAGAGTTAGACAGCAAAACATTTATTGTGATACTGGACAGAAGACTGTGTTTTATAAGAAAGGTTACTTACTAGGCGTATATTAAAATTTCTAGGATATCTAACCACCAGATTGTATTTAGTACGGTTGTTAGATACCTGATACGTTTATTGCTCTATTGGATACTATGTTATGTTTGGCATGGTTGTTAAGTGCCTGGTAGACTTATTGCGCTATTGGATACTATATTATGCTCAGCATGGTTGTTACATGATTGATAGACTTATTGCTCTATTGGATACTATGTTATGTTTGGCATGGTTGTTAAGTGCTTGATAGACTTATTGCACTATAGGATATTATGTTACGTTTGGCATGGTTGTTAAGTGTTCGGAACATTTATTGTGCTGCCGGAACATTGTATGTTTGGTAAAGTTATTAAGTATTTATCACAATTTCCATGCTACTACTAAGATTTTTACGATACTGAGTTCCACAATGTGTTTGGTAATATTACATTTACTATGCTGCCGTATAACTTAATATATCATGATAGTTTATTGTTCGATATATTTTTGAAACCATACTGTGTTTATTACTGTTGTAGACTGTTAGGTACATTTATCGTGTACCACTGGCTATAATACTGCATTTATTATGGTTGTTAAGTGTTAGACACATTTATTGTACCACTGGATACCATACTGTTTTGGATATGGTAAGATGTATTATTGGACCACTGTACATCATGCAGTTTAACCAGCATTATGGTATAAGTTATTATATTATTAGTAGACCAGTATTATATAATGTATGTCATATAGTTTAACTAACATTGTGGTAGCCATTATATAATTGGTAAGCCAGTATGTATGTCATACAGTTTAACTAACATTATGGTAGAAATTATTACCTTATTGGTAGACCAGTACTACATGATGTACGTCATATTGTTTAACCAATATTATTGGTAAGACATTACTTGGTTGTTTATAAAAGCATAGGGTAGACTTCGTGTTTTAATTACTTTACATTTTAATTGTTTAATATATTTGGGATCTTATTTAAATGCTGATCAAAAAATTAATTTAATTATATATTTTTATTAAGCGCGATTCCGTTTTTGTTTCTCTGATTACTGGCAATATTAAAAAATGATAAGTTAGTTCCTTCTACCAAGCAAGTAACGAGCATTCATTAAAACATTTGTGTTCATATAAGCTATAAGTAAGTTGTTGTTAAAATAAACCATTTTTGTGATTATGTGATATTTTGAAAAAAGACATTTAACACAATATCCTCTTTCCTAAAATAACCATGCTTCCGTTAAAAACAAATACAGTAGTTATAAGTCATAGAATAAGTTGAAATCAATTAACTGCACAGTATGCCACAACACTTTAATTTTTTGTTCTCTGTTTTCTATGTAAAGTAGATGATTCACCACATTATACTAGCAGCCGCTATATATAGACTTGGGACCGAGTTGTCCTAATTATATGTTAGGATTAGAACACTTCCTCATGAGTCATATATACTATTTTTTCAAAGAAAGTTCGAAGAATTATTCTTTATAATAAAAAACTTTAAAGCATCAACTCCGTTTTTTCTAGATAAGAATACCTTAGAACATTGAGAAGTGTATTGAGTTACTAAAAATATAATATCTTGCTTGAAAACCATTGTTAGCAGGTAAAGCTTGCGGAAAGTTTATGGGCAATCTCCAGGGATAACTGGTGAGATGGAGGAGGTTTCGATGCACTTACAAATCTGGTGAAGATCGAAATAGTAAAGAATGTATTACGTTGCTTGAAATTAATTGTCAGTGGAGTACACGAAAAGTATTATGGACGCCTTCCATGGTTCACTTACGAACTTGATGAAGAGTCAAATCCACTAAAGTACATGGAAATATCACCTCTTACACCACTTTCCATTGAGGTTCTTCAGAAAACCTTTTTATTGCTAGTTTGTTGTTACTGCATACTTGGGTGGTGGGGGTGATTTATGAAACAACAGTTTAAAAAAAGTCTTCATAAAGAACGTTTATGTAGAGATAATTAGTAAAACTTCATCAGTATGGCACCTGAAATACCTATTGAACTTCAATAAAGTCATAATATGGTCGTTTTATTCTGTATTCTGGTATTTCGATGAGGGGGATAATGATGCCATATTATGACCAGCTCTAGAATAATTGTAAATTTTAAGAACTAAAACCTGTGCGATACTTTAAGGATACTTTACTTCAACTCTCTAAAACCCTATGACAGCATAACACTAAGAGAAACGTCATAAACAAAGAAATTTCTACTGTTGTTACACGATGGAATGAACAAACCTTAGGAAAATATGAATCATGTTTCCTCTTCGAACCATTCCCGTTTACTTTTGTTTTTAAACATAAGATTCTTTTTTTTTTGAGACTCATTGTTTTAACAATGAAAAATATGTTTTTATTCTGGTTTTCTGGCTCTGAATGATTATTTGGTATTCAAGCAATAGAGCACGCTTGAATTTTAATATTGATTCTATTTTCACTTTGATGTAGTTTTTCCACCATTGTTCGTGAATCAATTATTGCATCCCTAAAGTACTATTACTAATCTTACTTTTTAGAACTTTCAAACATTCATTTGGTCAAAAAGTTTGTACGTTGTACATGTAATCTCTGATATCGACGGCTCCTGTATTAAAGGCCCAAAGCTTGTGAAATAAACTAAATATGGAGGAAAATCAGTGAGTTATTTATTCAAAAAACTTGACTATTACTAACAAAACACCTTAATTAATTGTAAACTCTTATCTATCCGTCTATCTCCATTCATTGTTATACGTTAATAAATTTCCATAAACAAGACTTCATTTAGTTACATTTATTATGTCCCCTCGGAGAGTAGAGATAGTTTATCAATAAATTATGGTTCTTTCATCATACAAGTATATTCCCCTATCCGGCTTACTGCTCCTATCAGCACAGCATTGATTCTATTCAGAGTATAGAATATATATATATATATATTTTCACCAGTTCCGTTCTGTTTGTGAGTAGTAGCAGAAACATTAGTTTAAATCTATTCTACGTTTAAATAAGATACTTAAGTAGCAATAGAAACATTAGTTTAAATCTATTCTACGTTTAAATAAAATACTTAAGTAGTAATGGAAACATTAGTTTAATCTATTCTACGTTTAAATAAAATACTTAAGTAGTAATAAAAACATTAGTTTAACTCTATTCTACGTTTAAATAAAATACTTAAGTAGTAATAGAAACATTAGTTTAACTCTATTCTACGTTTAAATAAAATACTTAAGTAGTAATAGAAACATTAGTTTAACTCTATTCTACGTTTAAATAAAATACTTAAGTAGTAATAGAAACAATAGTTTAACTCTATTCTACGTTTAAATAAAATACTTAAGTAGTAATA